AAGTAGTGTGTGTTTACGCTTTATTATAGTAGTAAGTATAGACTGTAGATTATTCAGAAATCTGAATTTATCAAGGCAACCAAAAGCGGATACATTAGAAATATATCCAAAAATGCAGTTGGCTGCAGTTGTGTTGTACTGGAATGATGTGAGTGTCGTAAGTGCATCTCGCGACAATTCTGTTCACGAGGCGTTTGTGCAAAAATGCGTAGAAAGCGAGAGTCAGAGTTGCTAAGCGCAGCGCGGGGTGGTGCGCGGAGGTGCGGGGGACGGGGAGGTATGTCAAGATGCTGTGACAATCGATGCGCTCGTTCGCTTTCTGTTCGTGCACTCAATCACAATAACAAATAAATTAGGTACGATTATAGGCGTAACTATTTCATGCTCTGAGATTAATAGTTTACCATCGCATTCAATCAGTTCAGTCGCTAAGGCTCTTAGTGCAGGTTCCTCATGATAAATCCATACTAATGGGTAAGGTAGTAAATGTACGAAACAAGGAAAGTACGTCCTTTTGTACTTGTATGTATTTTGTCGCATTATAATATTTAAAGAGAATTAATTTGACGATCACAAATCTTCAGTCAATTGATGTAGGGGGTTGGACTATTGCTCCGCTGAGCGAGGGCGAAAGTAAAAGAATAAATTGGTTTTTATATCGATACATTCTTGACTTTAGAAACATTACACTTGATGCTTAAACTACGTGATTGTCGTTTGTTTTGCTACTTATTGCTGAAATGTCTTTAATTAATCTGCTGAAAGTGTTTCAAGCGACACGCAAATGTGTGAATACATTTGTACATTTTAACAACCAACCTTGTTTGGATTATGATTATGTATGATTGCATAACACTTTAAATATTATTAACTTTATTATCTCTTTTAATAACCTACCCTCTGTAGAGATAGGGGCTAGTTGATGTATATAAATAAAAACAATTGCATTAAACGCTGTCAAGAGGTAAAACAGCCAGCGGTCCAGGATGACATTCTCCAGATTTACGTTTTTAGCCATTCCCTTCTTAATGTTACCGTTTTCGCAATAGATACCAAAGCATAACGATACGTGGCAGAATCATAAGCCTAAACAAATGCGACACTGCGCACATTGTGTATAACGTGTGCGGATTAGTTCAGGGACATTATGCGTTAACAATGCATTACATTGTGACAAAAGAATTTGTTAATTTACCTTTTAGAAAGTGTCCCGTGATACAAAGATAACTGTATTGTACACAGTAACGCTGTCGTCATATTTGTTACGCTGTGAACAGTATAATTTTGATGAAAAACTGATTAGTCTTAGTTACTTTTTGACCGACTTCTCAAAAGAAGGAGGTACTCAATTCGTCTGTATCTTTTTTTTGTATATCTGGTAGTTAAAGCATGTTACATATTGATAAAAGAGTTTAATGTCGATTAGTCCATTAATGTCTTGTTTGATTCAGCACTGTTTTTACATTACAGTGTTTTATTATTGTTCCTATGACATTATAGTTTGCATATTATAAGTTTAAATGAACAAGTCTTTTTTGTGTGTGTACAACTTATACTCAAAACCACACACACATTAGGACAATATGTTAGCAAATGTGTGCGCCTACATTCTGCTTCAATGTGGCTTAATTTGATTCAATGTCAATGATGCGAAAGTAAACTTTCAAATTAAACTTTCGAGATGTAACAATGAGGAGAGCACGAGGTCAAATATACATTCCCAGGAGTCGTGTCGATGCGCTAATATTCAGTTTATTAAATTGGTGGATAACATTTCGATGACTTTGATAACATAAATGGCGCGTACATCTTTGACTAAACTATCGAACAAAGGTTTAGTCTCGCTTTGATTCTTATGAGGTTATATGAAGTTGCCCACACTACTCGATTTTTAGTGGTCTAACTAAACAGTTGAATTAGCTGCGAAACAATCGACAATCGCACAACAAATGTGCGATAGTTTAGTCAAAGTTGTGCGCCTGCTCTTAATTAGCACAGGTGATCGTCTTCAGCAGTTAGCAGCTGCTGTGAATAATAACAGCGTTGGAAATAATTGCACAGATTAACGACCACTGGAGCGCGTTTAGAAATTCATAAAAAGTGTGTCAGTGTGCTGAACCGAGATATAAACTTAACGCCACATAACTTCCGTCGTGTGCCGTTACACCGGCCGGCTCACCATCACTCTTGTTCTTTGCAAATGTAACGTTATAACAAGTTTTTAACTAAACTAGTGGTCGCCCATCGGTTGAAATTCAAACACTAAAAACTTATTTTCTTTTTAAAACCTTATATCTTTTTGAAATACATCGCTTCGCGCAATTTCCGTAAAAATAGGCACACAGTTATTGCTTCTCGAATCTATTCATAAGTAACCTAAATGTTGTTTGTGTAGCTTTTATGTTGATGAACTCATTATATGTTTCTAACTATATATTGAAACAGATTTGTCGATAATAATTTTCATAAGCAACTTATTGTGAAATCTGTGTGTGATATTTCATACTAATTGCATCTCACTTGATGTTTGATGCTATGTTCGTTTAAAATACCACGCGGAGTGACATAACTTAAAATACTAAACTACATTCACACATTTTAAAAATGTTCTGAATGACTTAAGCCTGAAAATATTCTTTCTTGCATATTCAATTGTCTACAAGGAAATTTTTAATCGATTAACAAAATAGATTCTTGAATTATTCCAGACTAATTTCATTGTGTCATTTAAGTATTTTTTGAAAGAGCTGCAGTAACGTGGTGAATAAAATATTATAGTGTTTGTGTGGACAATTACAATGTAGGTGTTACATTTCCATACAATGTGGATAATGCGATGTGCGGATGTTGGACACCAACTTTCGTGTACGAAGAAAAGTGTGCCGGATTGTGCGTGGCTAGCGATAGTGTTAGGATACCCACATATTACACTCCTTGTTTAATATTAAACTGTACAGTACGAGCGGCCGCACACAATTGATTAAACTATCGCACAACTGTTGTAGGATTGACGATTGTTTCTTAACCCAATCAACTTTAGTTGAACAACTAAAAATCGAGTAGTGTGCACACCTCTATATAAGCTCATAGTAACCAAAGCGAGATATAACACTTGTGTGACAGTTTAGTCAAAAGTGTGCGCGCGCTTTTAGTAAGATGTATTTTTCGATTGCAGTCAGAAACGATTGTACTGTTTTGTTAATTCATACTTCAAATTACGAAAGTTACCTTTGATTTTTTTGTAATAACACATATGAAATACTAATGTAATGTAGAGAGCTTTTATTTCGTAATATTCAATTAACATTTAATGCGGGAGAGTATGATCAAGAAACATTAAACGTTTATTAATTTCCCAGCTTAGCCGACACCGAGCTATAGAACATTAACCTTCATACAGGGAACGTATGCCGGGCATCTAAGTAGCCTCTAACCAAATCATTACTGTTGCCTTGACAAGCTAAAATCAATCTTATTGCCTTCGTATTACAGAATAAAGTGGTGGCAGTAGTATATTTGTGTTGAGTGCTCTCGGTCCGGCTATTTAAGGCCAGTAACTTTCCTGAGAGCACTTTCTCGCGACGTTACGTGAACCATCTCGCCTCTCGAGTCTCCGGCCGACGCAGTACTTATACATCGCTTACGTAATGATCGTAAATTGTAAGCCTAAGTGTCTACACTCGGCATCATATCTGCACTGATGGCTGGATTTGTTATACAACCGAATAATACGAAAATACTGAGGAAAATATACAGTCTAGGAATTATATCCTGTCCATTTAGATGAAATGTTATGAGATGTTAAGTGCACACCTTTGACAAACTCTCTCACAACTGTTTAGCCGCGCTTTGATTATGTGAGCTTATATGGGGCACACTACTCGACGTAGTTGTGCAACTAAACAGTTGAATTGGCGGCGAAACAATCGACAATCGCACATCATCGTACGATAATCGTCAAAGGTATGCGCCCATTCCAAGTCGACAGTTTTTTGTACGGTATTCAATTTTGAGTGGTAAGCGAAATTAATTCTTTGACTGTACATACGTAAATTTACATAAGAAATATTGACGCATCAATAGTTTAATATCGTTGTAATAAAAAAAATAATTTAAAATTAATTTCTCAAGATGTATCTATCTTTATTTAAAGAAACTTCTATATCGCAGGTCGCAGGTCCGGATATGATTAATTCGTCAAGTTATTTATATTTATATGTGTACATTAAGTATGTATGTATAATAACCGGTGTTTAGATGTTGCCGGTGTCCATTCGCTGTGGAGGGCCGCAAATGTCCGGCGCTCGCCTTGCCCTACATAGCGCCCGCGCAGCGCCGCCGGCAAACGTTATACTGCCTAATGCATCAATTAGCAATCCAAACAATGTTACGGTTATAAATGCAAAAAATCGATTATCATTAAATAATTTAAACTTTTAAGAAACACAATGAACTAATTATAAAATACTCACGTCTTCTTTGGTATAAATATAAATTTTGATACGAAAAAACTTATTTAAAACCAGCGGATGGTTTTAAATTGTTTGTTTTTATATTAAAATAAGCCTAAACTTTTCAACCGACTCTAATCGGTTACTCAGGTTACGTGCGGTAACGTTTTTAACCGATTAGCTCGGCTCATCGTTTATTTGTGACGGCGCGCTCTCCAAGTTTTTGTGACGGCTCCGAGCATCATTATTCAATATATTTTATTTACTTAGATACGAAAGATACAAAGATACTGTGTAGGAAAGTTGTATCTATTTATGTATTTGAAGAGGACTACTAGAATATTTAGCTTCTTTTGAAATTATTGATTTTTCTACTAGAGTATTATTTGGGTGTTTGGCAGTTGACGGCCGAACATTCATTTCTAGAAGCGTTTTGTGACACTTTTTTGAATATTTCACATTAAGTCATCGCTTAGTACCAGGTTCATGTTAAGTCAATAGGTCATTCTTCACAGTGTACTCTGTTTATACTTGTTTATTTTTATGTAGGGTGTGCGCATGGTCGCTACCTGGGCAAGGAGATAGGCGCTCTGTCCCGGCTGCAACACGGCGTGCGCGGCGCGCTGTTTGCTGTCGACTCGCGGACCCTCTATCTCCACGATTTCCACTATGATGGCGCCGGACCAGGTAACACCAGTTTTATTACTCATGAATATTTACATATAAGATTAATTTTAAGCTCAGATACCCAAGTCCTAAGTACGTAACATAAAGTAGATAAATTAGAGTCCAATATTTTTGGTTTTAACGTTTTTTTTATGTTGTTTTTATTCATCTAAATATTCGCGGTGCGTGACGAATGAGTCAGTGACCGCGTTGATAAATGTTACGCATCTCTGACTCTGACGCAGCCATCGATGTAGGAAATCAATTGGTTTTTGAAATTATAGAAGCATCCTTTTTAATTATTTTTGTAACACAACCATTGGTCTTTGATCTAAACATTGTACAAACTTTACTGTGACGTGTAGTTGTAACTACACTTATAAAATGATTTTTTTAATAAGTGTGAATTAAATTATTATAAATAAATTCATGAGATCAGTAAAGATTTTGTTTTTATACTATTTGTATGTTTAAATTTTTTACCAAAACGTTTTTAATAGGGCAAATCCCGCGCTAAATCTTAAAACGTAACAAATTACTAGCGCTAGGAGTTGGAGCATTTAATTCTCTTAATCTGTACAAAGCACGCGTGATCACGAAAGTGCTGTAAATGCAGTACAAAATACGGCCCGGTTTTTAAAGAAAATGGTATAACCTTTAACCATTATCATTCATATGCCATGCCAGCTAAGGTTTGTTCTAATTCTCGTGCCTCAATATGCTGCATAGCGGTAGAGTTTGAAGGTCTACATTTTTTTGATGTGGCAATAATTTTTTTACAATTAAAATCCGCAGTAAGTTACAATGCCATGAATTACAGCGAGTTGTGTGTTGTAGCGGCGTATTTCTTCGTGGGTACATCGAAGGGGCCGTCATCGTCTGGCGTGCGGCTACGCGATGAGCGCGGCGGTGCGAGCCCACTGAGGGCCTACCGCGGGGAGGGGCTTACACTGTCGCTGCCTGAAGGACACACGCTACGCGATCTGCGCTGGTTCTCCGTCTGGTGCGACGAGTACGCGGTCAGTACACACATGTACAACCTAACCCTGATGTCCACACGGTTACTTTGTGTTTAACATTGAGTACAGCTCAACTGTACAGGATAACGATGTAGTTATTGCCCTGGTCGGTAGTTTTCAGAGATTATCGTACAGAAGTTGAACAGTAAAGTTTAATTTCACCCTGATTAAGATGAAGGGAACATTGGTATGTTTATGTAAGTGGTTGCACAGGCATCAATATTCATAAGATTGCGCGTGCAGCCGAGTGCAGCGCGGATTGCGTTCTTAGTTACAGTACGTACTGCAAGCGTTTCATAAGATATAAGCCATCGCCAGTACTGTAGCGACATCACTTCCTCAACTGTCTCAGATGGAATGTTTTACAAAAGCATAAGAGCATGCGCATACCTTTGACTTAACTATCGCACAATTGTTATGCGATTATCGATTGTTTCGCAGCCAATTCAACTGTTTAATAGCACGACTAAAAGTCGAGTAGTGAGCGCACCTCCATATAAGATCATAGGAGTCAAAGACTAAACAGTTGTGTGATAGTTTAGTCAAATGCGCGTGCGCGTCAAAAGTGTGCGCTCTACTTCGTTGAATTGAAAAGAAATGGTCAATGTTAAAAATTAGGATAAGGAAATTGGCTTACTTTTGGATTACAATTATTTTTTTTTTATTAAAAATAACTAAAGGCAATTCTCAGGCAATAATCTTTTAACCGGTTTTATGATACTTTTATTTGTTTACGGCTGTATGTGTGTGTCAACTGCACATCTCAGCGAAGAAATTAAAAAAAAAAGGAAATCGTGTTGTGGGCTAGCGTGGTCGACTAAAGTCTAGTCTACCCTAATAGGCTCCGAGCCCTTCAGTAGGGAGGAGTAGTGAGCTGGAGATGTATGTGGCTAGATGGTATGTCAATGTGGTGTGTACGCAGGTAAACTTCGGCAGCGTGAGTATCCCGAGCGGGCTGGAGTACCCG